TTGATCTGGGATGAGCACTGTTCACTGTCATTTTCATAACTAGAGGAGTGAATCTCTGTGGCTGGTTCGGAGAGAGACGCGTTTTGAATAGGCCAAAAGAGAATGCCATTATGGAGCAAAAAGAAGCAGCAACAATCATCGTCTTCATCATCGTTGACAAGCAAATGGCTTTCTTCTCATCCTCATTGAGACTAGGACTGAAACTAAGACCTTTCCCCTCTGGCTGTTAACGTTTGGTCCGTTCGGCCGCCATAAGACTAAAGGTTCCTCACTATCTCTTCGTCTACATTGAAAGCATTTTTGAATCAACTTGGCATGTTTAAGCGTTGTTTTTGCTGTGTTCCATGCTTGCCTTGTAGGGTCTTTGGGTGCTCTTCTTTTAGGTTTCCAGGAAGGTAGAATCTCTGCTCCGAGTTGACAAAATGTACAAGCTAATAGTAGTAAACCTGTTAAGCTTAACTAATTTTCTAGCAAAATTAAATGAGCTTAGCTTACTCTTGGGATATTGAATCAAGCTGGTTTTCCTCCTCGTCGACGGTGTCCATGAGAGTGATGGCATCAAGTTGGGTATCCCGATCATCGCAGTGGTATGTTTCAGCACAACCATGGATACCAACTTCGATCACTCCCTTGCCTGATGTAGACCACACAAATCCATAGCAAATAACTAAACTAATGAGAGAGAGATTGGTGATAGAAGAAGATGGTGCCAGAAAGAAAAAGTGTAGAGAGAAAGAATGGTGATAGAAGGGGGGTGTTAGGAGGAAAGCATAATGTGTGCTGGTAGGGAGGTGGTCACGTGTTAGGAGGGCAGGGGGAGAGAGACAGAAGGGGTGAGAATGAGACGGTAGTGCCTCACAAGAGCATTTAACAAATGGAACTGGGATGGGATCCACAAAAATAAAAAATAACGGACGTTAGCAAGAATTAACGAAATGGTATTTTCGCTTGGTTTAAAATGTCAATGTGCATTTTTGCATCTGATATTTTATTATGATACATGATACTTCTTTTTATATTATAATAGGTATATTTATCTGAGTGCAAAACCCCAAAAACAAAAGTTCACAAAAGCCATTGCAAATATTGCTCCACAAAAATAAAAATTAGCCCTTGTTTAGAGAACAAAAATCTGGTGTTTGTCCTTGTAATTAAAAAATAACAACAACAATGATTGAATTTCATTTTACAGATTCAACAAATAAATAATTTCACAAATTACTAATTTAATCATTATAGTCGTAAAATTAAAATTACGTAATAAAATTAATATATCTACAACCATTTATTAAATATTCATTGATGATGTCGTATTATTACAGTATAAACCATATATCCCTATTTATCAAAGAGAATTTTTTCAAACACGCAGGTACAGTATACTTGTCAAATCATGTATTTCCTTTTAGGGAAAAAAAAACAAATATTTCACCGTGACTTCTAGTTTACACACACACAAAATTCGTGAAATTTGTAATAAATCACACTAGCAAGAATACTTGATAAGCAAGAAGGTTAAAATAAAAGCTAGCATTTTTATTAGGCAGTCATTGGAATTCTGATAAATCTCCAGCAACTGCATGTATCAGTCTCAACTCTCAAAACACGTCAAAGCGAAGCATAAGTTGCCATCTAATATTTCTCTCTTTACACAAAGCGCCACCAACTCAATAATACAGACCCTAACGTACTAAAACCCCTATACTGCATATCCTACCGCCGCTCAAATTCCATTTCAAGCAATACCAACTACTTTTTGTGTCTTGATCTGGATTAGTCTAGATCCCCGATAAATCAATGACACGGATTAGTCTAGATCTCCGATCCCCGATAAATCAATGACTCGGATTAGTCTAGATCCCCGATATATCCTCGTTAAAGTGAGGCAACTCTGGCTGCTCCCCAACTAAGAACTAGTTTTCATGTCATGATCTTGATCAGAGAGAACTCTACTCTTTCACCTTGTTCATGATCAGTAACAAGTTTTGAAGTCATCATCCTGCAAAAGTAGACCCACACACAGGGCATGGAGGGTCACGTCTTTCTTCAAAGCTGGTTTTCTGATCCAAGCACTCTGCATGATAAGCATGGCCACAAACCAGGACTGCCACAATTGAAGAATGGTCGTAGGAAGAAGATAAAGGATTCCCGTGCAAGAAATTTTTTCGTTTTAATGGCTTCTGACAAACCCCACATACCATCTTGACTGCATCAGAGGATACTGCGTCTGCAGCTAAGGAACTCGACCGGATTCTCTCTGGCCGGGAAAATATCTTGTCTCTGAATTCTGGGGAAAAAAATTAGTGTCAACATGTCAAGGGGAGAATACACATGAACAAGAAATCGCCAGAAGATAAAAGCTTGAAAAAAGAAAAGTGGTACTGCTCCTTTGGTCCCCAACCCCAAAAAATGCATGTTCAACCAACTTAATCTTCAGAAGATTAGTTCACATCATTTGACTTTGAATTTCTTAAAATCTAATCAATATGATCCTGCCAAGGATAATTTGACGGTGAAGAGTTCACCCTAGGACCATCTAGAGAGGTTTTTCAAAATGTTTAGAGTCAAATGACAATAATTAAAATTGACCTAACCTATGTCTTTCAAGGACCAAAATGGTAGTTTACTTGGATAAATACATACAGAAGACCGGTGCTCCCAGAAAATTCAAAGTTGGATGTAAGCATTAGAATACAGGACATGTATAAAAATATATAGTTTAATTATTGAACAAATCATACCTATCCCACCAAGTGAGATAAAGCTTATTGCTGTTGTTGTATTGAACAAATCATATAAAATATATACTAACTTTAGCACTACAGGTGAGCAACAAAGAAACACCTGCGTGACGTTTGGATTCTGACTGGATTGAGAAGCCAACTTAAAAGAAAGCTTCTCATCATACGAAGAAGTGTTCTTTCCACAAGAAGACGATGCATTGGCATGATTTGCAGAGTTACGTCGAGAGTACTGATGACCATAGTAATGTCGTGAGCGCTTCAAAAACATAGAACGGCCGAGACTCTGATAGTGATGGGATGTAGTTGGATGGGCATTTAATAACTTCATAGGATCATCTGTCATATCCAAAACAGGTGCCAGAGGATGCATACCAGGATCGCCTGAATGTGAAGATTTCTGCAAAGAAGCAAGAAAACCAAAATACAAATGTATGATAATTTTCCCAAAGCTCAATGGTGACATTAAGATAATAATGCAAGAATAATTTACAAAATGAAATCCATGCGTCAATGAAGTAATTACAACCATAAATGCGCAAAACTTCAAAAAGGGGAGAAGAAAAGCAACCTCATCTGACAATAGTTCCATCTCAGAGGAGCATGGAATGACTTCTGCAATGTCAATCAAAAGAACAACAATAAATAATTATATTTCTATTTACAAACTAGAAACAAATAAAAAAATCTAGAAAGTTACTAAAACGGGAAGAGGACTGTTAAATGATTTCGTCTGATGCGATAATGCAGCCAATACATTGCTGTCAGGTTCACAATTTCATGGAAATATTTATCTCATGTAAATGATGAAACATCACTCGAAATTTCCAATTCTGAACCCTAACGTCACTATTTTTACACATAACCTGACAAAACAAAGCACATTGAACAACAATCAGCATAAAAAAGAATAATAAGTCATCAACTGATCAAACCTAAATGAGTCAGTGCAGTTACATTTCAATTTGCAGTGAGAGAAGAGAGAGGGGAGAAGCGGAGAATGAAAGCAAAGAAGAAGAAATAACAACTCCTTGGAAAAATTAAAAGCAAGGATATGATCTCATTAATAGACGATGCTTCCACTAGGTGTCATAGAAAAATGTATAGTTGAATCACAATGTGAAATGAGAAGTTCTTGTTTGAATACAGGAATCAATCCCTCATTTTTCCTTTAAATCCCAGAACTAAGAAGAAATCACCACAAACGAAAAGGGAAAAGGGTGATCAAAGACTAAATTGAAGTAGTATAACACAGAATGGATACTGGTGCAGTAAAATTGGAAGAGAAAAGAAAACAGAACAGAAATCTGAAGAACAAAAATCAGAACCGACTAAAAGCGTTCCAAGACGCATTTGCAAAACCAAAACAAAAACAAAAGAAGAAGAAGAAGAAAAATTAGAAGGAAAAAATCCCTTGAAACCCAGTAAAATTACTCTGAAAGGGAGAAAATGGAACGTCTAAAACAAGAAAGCCAATTGCCTCCTCGGCCGTATATTTTCTACCAGAAAAAAACAGAGGACAAGAGGAGTAAGAGCAAGAATGAAGTGCATCCCACCTGAAATAATTAAGATCGGCCCAAATAAGTAGACGTATCACGTTTTCTCAGGTGCCCATCAATGGAACCGTTTCAAGTAGCTCAAAAGAGTATTTCATTTCTTCACTTTCCTCTATCATTACGCTAATAGAAAGCTTTAAAAAGCATGAAAAATCAGGGGGGAAAACACAATAAAATGAAACGATTAGAAACGTACCCGTAGAAGAGGAACACAGGAGAGGTTGATGATCGGTCTCAGTCTGATCAGAGATTCGTTTCCGTTTTCCCATAGTGATGAAAGGGAGTGTGTAATTAATTACAAAACGGGAAAAAATCTAAATGGGGTTGATGGCTAAGAAAGGCCCACGAATTCTACGGTGTTGAAGGAAAAAGGTTTTGGTTGACATGAACGGTCAAGAACAAATTTTTCAGCGAGAGAACAAGAAGGTAGGGAAGCAGTCTTCTGGTTGATGAATTTTGGGGAAGGAAAGGAAGGGAGGTGGTGTGAGGGTTCAAGGCAAAGCTCTTCTTTTTAACCGTGGCCACGTCATCGTCGTCGTTCTTAGCGAGAAATCATAAGGTTAAAAACGTTAAAACTTGCGACCGACCATGTGAGATTTTCTCTCCTTTTTTCTCTCTACTTTTAAAGAAAAATATCAAGACTTCGAAACTTATTCCGCATAAGGTTCTGAAAATATCATGTTAGAGTCAGATTGGCTACTCCGTTGTTTATGGCTTATCCCTGGAATGAGATAGCATGGCGCTTTCTTTGGGCTGTTCCTTTGTCGATTTCCTAACCATGTTTTTGAAGCAAGCAAAAATCCTGGAAGTCCTCAGTGTAATAAAATAGAGAAAGATCCATAGAAACAAATGAGTGAGTTCACAAGTGATATTCAATCAAGAATGAAGAGCTCTTCACCTCCCCACCAAAATTCTATCTCTTTTTTGCCTCCAGTCAGACAAACAAGATTGAGCTGCGGGATCGTTGTGTTAACTTGAACGGTTGTCTAGTGTTGAGTCCTAAGTATGTGTTAGGTTCGTCAGCCATCTAAAGGGCAATAAAATGGACGATGCAAAATTTTTGTACTCTAAATATATGCATCCAATAAAATAAGGGTGAACAAAAGAGACGTGAGAGAGAGAGATGTACATTATCCAATCAATTGGCCAATGCTTGAGATTTTTCCACCGTAGTGTATTTCACAACTCCGAAACTTTAGGACAAATATTTTAATTTCTCAAATATGTAGTTACTTCTTTTTACCTGGGCAGTTAAGAAACCAATTCAAGATCGCTCACAAATATTGAGTCTCTGCTGAAAATATGTAAAATAACACCCAGTGATTGGACGAAGATTTTCCCATTTAATAAGTTGACATGTGCATTGAAGTTATAAATATAGTTTAAAGTGTCTTGAGCCATGGCAACAATTTCATATTGTTGATCTCCCTTGTTTTTCCAATATAAATATTTGTATTTATATATATATTAAGAGAGTATAACTAACTGTTGCGGCTCCTCGCAAGGATAAAATCCATTAATAGTTTAATGAATATCTATGATTTTATTCTTTGCAACTAGGTCTCAGTCCGCCCTGTATAAGTTAGTATAATATAAATAAAAAAAATAGTTTTTTTAAATAATCAGCCATTTAGACTAACCAGCCAGATGCAATTATAAAAGCACTGCTCAAATTTGCTTTTCAAGTTCATTAGGCTTCTCCAATACCAATTCGCATCATTAGGAACAGTATAAAAGCATAGATTGCTCCCTTTTAAATCCACATTATTCACCCCCTTCACCATAATTTTTTTTTCCAACGGACTTGGATTCTCTCCACTACCTTCCCATCCTCTTTCCCTCCACTATCTTTTTTTTTTTTCTTCACAACCATTGGATCAAAATTCCAATGGTCCAGATTTAACATCTTATAAAATAATGTTATTAAAAAAAAAATAAATTTAAACTGTTAAAATTTGGTCTGAATAGTTTGCAATTGTAATAAAAAAAATTTTAAAAAAAATGCTCTATAATAACAGTCTATAGTTATGAATTGTTTAGATTAGATTTTAACAGTTTAAATTTATTTATCTATTTTTTTTATCATAACATTTATTTTTATAAAATGTTATAAAATATTAAATCTGGACCATTGGAGTTTTGATCCAATAGTTATGAAAAGAAAAGAAAAATAATAGAGGGAAAAAGGATGGAAAGGGTAGTGGAGAGGATCCAATTCCTTTCCCAACACCTAGCCGCAATTTTGCCATAGCAGCTTGGTTCCGTAACTCGCGATACGGTGCTGTAGATTTAGGCCGGCCTAATTATTCAAATCTAATGTACTAGGCAATATGATTCAAAATACTTTTCCAATTTTATATGTAGAAATTTGATAAAAAATTAGTTTTGATTCTAAATATAAACTGTGATATATTTTATATTTCATGTTTATTATATTTTTCTGAATTAATTTATATACCAATTTACAAATTGATACTTCTCATGTTCTAAATGTAAGACCCTTATACACATTAGTATAAGAGTCTTACATTTAGGATCGGAGGAGTATAATATAATATTACATAAAGATATTCTAGATTAATCAGATCTCTTCTGGTTCTATTTATAAGTCATTTCTAACATGTTTCACTCAAATTAGGAAAAATCTTAGATTTTATTAATTCTCGTTTAAAATTTAACAACTTTCCAACTTTATGTAATATATATTATACCTCATATATATATTATTATACCTCATATAAACAAAGTCAACGTAATAATTAATGAAGAGTAAAATTATACATACATATAAAAAATTTCTTTAATACCCTATAAATAGACTCAAAAAATATCATCTCTTTCTACTTTATAAATAGGACTAGAAGAGTATTGTTAGAATTGAGTAATTTATACTTCTCCAATCCTTAATATAAAACCCATTTAATAAATTTGATTAGATTAAGGAAGTTAAGTAAGCTAGTTAATTATAAGAAAAGTGACACATTTTTCCTAAAACACTATAATCATCTTTCTTAATATCTCACCTCCTCTTCTACTTGATTATGGTTGAGGGAGTATCCATATGGGTCATTTAGAGAAAATTGATAAATATAAGAAATGAGTCTTATATTTAGGACCAAAACTAACTCAAAAATTGAGTCCTATATTAAGAATAAGAGGATTATCACTTTTTTAACCTATTTAAATTAGTTAAATAATTCTTATAGTAAATATTTGAGGAGTAGCTTATCATGTGCGTGTGTGATGAGTTGTGTACTTTTGTTGCAGCGTAGGAGCTCTCAGCAAACAGAAGGAAAAAACAAAAACATGTCTTTCTTTAAAAAAAAAAAATCAACAATCACGTGCAATTAATCATAAAAAATTTAGCCGTGTGTGTGACATCATCATATTTCAAACGTGGGAATCCAAAAGGAAAACATCATTTTGGGATGGCTAAGCGAAGCAATCCATGAGAGAGAAACAATTTTTAAGCGTGTTATATATAGTTTCAGTTTTATTGCCAATTCATAAATCATAAAATAAAAAAAGTATTTTAATAAAAATAAATTATAAATAGCTAAATTAATGAGTAGCTTTTTTTACTTCAATATCATAAATCACAAATGAATTTTATCTTAGCCTAATTCATGGAATGAAATAATACTAAAGTTAAGCTTAATTGAGGCTAAAGGTCTGTTTAGTATAAGAGAGATGAAGGAAATGAGATGGGAGAAAAAAATTTACTGAACTTGATTTAATAATTGAAAAAATGAAAGTTAAAAGCTTTCACTTGATTTTTCTTACCCTTTTATCTTACATCTTATTTTTATCAAAATCTTATAACCCTATTTTTTCTATTTTTTAAATCAATCTCATTAAAATTTTTCCTCCCCTCTTTTTTGGTTTCAATTCTCTCATACCAAATATTGGGTAAATATGGCTGTAAATGGTTGTGAAATAAATGGAATTATCTCTCATTACTGTATTTTTAATGATATCTTTCTGAATGTATTATGTATATTTACTTTTTTGTATTGAGAAATCAAACTAGAATTGGATGAAAATCAGGATTAGGATGAGAAAAAGAAAAAAAGTTTCCCAGCATAAAGGTACATGACAAATTGATTTGTTTGGTCAACACTCGAGAGATATAATCATTATGCCGGGATTATTTGTTTTTTGAGAATAATGGGTGGGGAAGTTAACAGAACTGAGAACCTCCATGGGCTTAACCCAACCTAGCTTGCATCAGGGCCCAACAAGTAATTGGGCCTAGACCGAAGATCCTCATAAAAGCCCTTTATGTTTACAGGCCAACATAACTTGCATTAAGAGCCCAACAAGTAATTGGGCCTTGGCCCATATCTTCATAAAATCCGTTTCTGTTTACATGGTTTGTATGTTCTTCTAGGCCCAATGTGCATACTGTAAGTATGTGTGCGGTCTTTTATTGTCCTAACCTTTAAGTTTTAATATTTTCCGGCCAAAACATTGATTTTCGGCCCTTCACTCTAAAGTCACTGAAAGGAGGGAAGATCATACAATAATAATAGTAGTGGTAGAAATAATTAATGATCCTCTGAAAATACTAATAATAACTAAGAATTTTGAAGTTTTCAAAATTTTAAAAAATTATTATTCTTGTCTAATTTTCCCAACACACACCAAATCATTCTAAAAGTAATTGTGTGACTTGTGGGACAAGATTAATCTCACATTGTTTTACTTAAATCATGTTCTGATTAATACTAATTGCTTTTCAAGAATTCATAATTAATAAGCACAAATGCAACAGCATCTTGTTATCCTCATGCTCTTATCCAATTAGACTTAAATTAATCAAGGTCCAATATATAGTTTTTAATTATTCATTAAGAAGTGAATTTTTTTTTTGTCATGGCGGGTGCTTAAATATGATTTAATTTTTGTTAGCTGACATCATCCTTCTCATTTTGCCCGTTAATTATTGCGCCAATCGCACCGAAACAAATAGTTCTCTCACGCAAACCATACGATTGGTTCTCTCAAAATATCTTGATTATCTTCATCTTTTTTTACACCTAACATCCACCGTCAAATAATTTAATTTTTAATCCTCCTCCTCCTCCTGTCTAATTCATTATATTATTCATGTAAAAAAAAATATAATTGTTGTTTTTAAAGTGATCATCTTTTTTCCAGCCTTTTTATAAATTTATCATCTGACAACGTAATCTTGCAAGAGGGTTTTGATTATCATCACCATTATGTATGATATTATATAGATATTTTGATTTTAGGTTTTTTTTTTTCCCAAATGGAGCAAGGTCATCCGTTGGGTTATTTCAACCACACCGGACCCACCAGAATTAATAACTAACGTCAACAAAAATCATTGATGATAACATTCAAAATCTTTCCCTCCGTTATGACTTCCTTTTTCTAGCTTCGCCAAATTGCCCTTTAGTGGCGGTACATATTAATAAAACGGCACGTGATATTTAAGCCCATTTTATTTTCTGGTTCCTTAAATTTTAAATCTGTGATTTTAGTTCCTGAAAGTCTCTTGTGATGCAATGGGATTAAAGTTTGCTGAAGTGTCATCAATAATGTTAAAAGTAGTGATATTGATTCTGATACATAATTGAATCTTGTGTGGATAACAGAATGTAATACAGTGAATAACTCTTGAAAACA